TGGTTTGTGTTGATAGGCTGGCTCCGTCTGATTTGTGTTGTGTCTGTTGTCTTTTTTGTTTTTTGTGTTTTGTTTTTTGGTGTGGTTGTTTTTTTTTTTTTTTTTTTTTTTTTTTTTTTTTTTTTTTTTTTTTGTTGGTGGGGGGGGGGGGGGAGGGGGGGAATGATTGGTCACTACGAATGAGCATACCTAAATATTTCAGTTTGGTGTGATTGGTACTGCGAATAATCTAGAGGCTGCTAGTATTAAAGATGTATTTTTTTTTTCTATCAAAGTTCGTCAATTGGCGTCCATGTAAAAAGTGGCTTCGACCTTTCAGTAAAAACAACAACAGCAAAACAAAACGGCAAAAAATATACATTAAGTTATATTGTAAAGAGCTTCTAGTTTTAAGCACATTTCATTTCACTTTTGTCAGGGGAGGGAAAAGAAGTGAAGTGTATATTGGGAGAGGGATGGTACTTAGTGCACTTCGCAGAGATTAGACCATTCTGGTAGTGACTAGAATGGATACCTAAAAATCAGGTTGGACACCTAAAGTTTATTACACAACGCTATACTCAATACCACGCTACACTATATTTAAGCGAACTTATTGGGCACAGTTTTGAGAAAAGTGGGGAAATCAGAATAGGAGACGGCTGTGCAAGGAAAAGGGTTGAATACAGGGTTTGGTATCGAAGTACAGTGATTAGGGTTAAGCACTGTTTTAAGAACGGTTAGCTTTAAATAATATAAGGATCAATGCCATGTAAAGTAAGTTAAAATTATCCGGTGTCTTCAGTTCGCCCTTGATGTTGTGGTGGATACGGATGTGGATTATACATCAAATGACGCGGGTTCAAGTCCTACATGCTACCTACTGTTTTCTTCTGTTTTCTTTCTTCTCTTATTTACAACTTCAAATTATAAGACTTCTATCATGTATTTTAAGTGAAGGTGACAACCTGAGTTTGGGGTATCCATTCTGGTCAGGGGGTTCAACTCCTAGCCTCCCACCCAACCGTTCGTTGTCTTATCACATAGCGCTTTTTGTTACACGGCGAGACAAAGAACAGACGTGTGTGAGACTATTCGACACCTAACCCTTTCACCAACCACCAACAAGCTATATACAGATGACTAGATTTAACATGACATCCTGGATGATAAAAAGGCTTTAAAACGGCTTTAGTTTCTACCCAGATTTCTTTCCCTCTGAGAGGTAGCTTCCTTTGAATTTTGGGGTTCAAGTACCCCTCGCAAGTGTTAAATCTGTTTATTGTTTATCTAACGCTGAAATCATGCGATAATTAATGCGGTAAATTTACTTTGATCTGCTTAACAAATACTCAGACACTGAACGGAAAACAGGTCAACGTGGGTCGTGGCACAATAGAAAGTTGATGCGCACACTTTAAATATCAATTTCAGCATTGACGTGCAGCTGCGTGTCAAGAATCCCACATAACGTTGTATTGATGGTTAAATGCTTTTGAAACAGGCCTACCCCTAGTAAGAAAAACAACTATGCATTATTAAATCTTCTCAATCATTTCAGTGCCCACTGCTAAATAAACGTAAAAAAGGCCAGTAGCACTGAAATGTTATTAAAATCAGCATCATTAAAACAAGGAAACTACGGTCCTTTTTGCAAGCGTTACGAAAGTAGCATGTTTGGACAGCAGGTAATTAAAGATGACAATACAGCGCGAAATAAGGTCGAGTCGAGTAGGTTCCAACCAAACTGACATATCACAGGTAAAATGATCACTTTTCCGACAGGGAAATTACTTCTGAGTATTCTGAAGAGCATGTGATTGTGAGTGTGGCGTGGGTGTAACACCCCGTGAACAAAGCTAAAGGAGCTCTAGAATGATTAATTAATGAGCATTGGAATATCTGAATAACTAGAAACTTGGATGGTTTTGAATTTGATAATCTGGATTTCTGAGTGTGAAAAATTATGCCTGGCTTGAATCATACATTTCAGCAACCACAATGGTTGATTCTTAAGATTCACCTCTCTGTTCAGTTAACTGCGACAAACTGAACCAATAAAATGATTTCGAACAACCATCAAATGTAAGCTGCTTGAACACGAATTTCTTTATTTATTTGCTATGATTCTATCTTCCTTCAGTGGGATGGCAGGGTATTTCAATGAGAGGGTTGAGAGCGAGTTTGATACGAACAGAGTCACTAGATCTCAGATTTTAATACAGGGATGCCGATGCAAATACAGGGATTACGATGTAAATTGTTACCTAAAGGCGAGATGAAATTCGACGGACAAGGCCAGTTGGATGAACTAACACAATGGATTACTGAATGCGTGAATTCTATCTTCCTTCAGTGAGATCAGAGTATTGGAATGCAAGTGTTGGGTGCGAGGTTAATACGAACAGAGTCACTTGAGCTCGGATTTTAAAACAGGGATGACGACTCATCACATGTCAATGTAAAATCGTACCAAAGAGCGAGATAATGATGACGTTTCAGGGTTTCGCCAAGGAAGAAATTGGAGACGCAATGGAAACGTAAGTTCATGCTAGTTTTCAAGATGCTTTGGGAAAGGAACACCACCACCACCAGGGCCAAGTCAGAAGAACATCGACGGTGAAAGACGATGCTCTCACTTAGCATCAGCTGGAGGAACCTTTTTTACCATGCACATGAGCATAAAAAATGCTGAAATGATTTATGGATTTAATTTCGGAAACGTGTTTTGGATCCGCTATGACATGGAAACTTCGAAGAAAAGGACGACTCAAGAACGCTTTCGTGAATTGGATTTGGGTTTTTTCATAAACACAGCATAAACAGAAAAAAGAGTTGGAACCGTTAATGGATGTTTCGCCAACTCAAACGACTGAGTGATCTGAATGAAGTATGAGGAATAAAGGGCCAAAGATGACAGTTCATCAAAATGTTGCCACTACATATCATTGTGTGAAATATGCATATTATATGGCATGGATGTGTGTTACCTATGTGGAATCATTGACAGCCACAAATAATGCCACTAAATAAACTTACTGGTAGGACAACCTTAAAACTTATGGTCAATTCGTCACTTTGCAAGTAACCAGGATAAATCTGAAACTCATAAGAAAACTTGAAAAGCATACAATGAAACACATTAAATATATCACCAACGTCTCGCAGAAAATGTGTATTGAACGCGTGAATGTTTGAAATGCAGCAGGATTCAGAAATGCAAACATAATCGCGTAAGGCAACAATTGACTGACAATTTGCAGTAAATGCATGAAAATCTATTATGCAGAAAAGGAGGAAGATGCAGAAATGCCCAGTGTTTCCTACGAAGTTCCCTCCCCTTGGGGTCATTGAAAAATCTTTAACATATCGGAGTACATATTAGCATGTATGGTCACGTGGTTGATGCACCTAAAAGCACAGACACGAGCGATAACACAACAGACACTTGGCAAGTTGCAACCGAGTAAAGCCAACTTGCAAGAAATAAAATAATCAAAGACAAACTAATTGAAGGTTTCTACACGCAACCTTTGCAACACAGGTAAGAAGCTAGAAAAACTGTACTTTACATTATATATCATTATATGGATTCCTAAACAAAATGGTCTCAACTGACCAAGTAGATGTCGTTCTTAGCTGAGCGGACTTTTTGAATCTGTTTAACTTCTTCAAATTCAGGAAAGGCTTCCCTACATAGTATCATTGCAAGGCTACCAACTAATCGTGTCATGGATATCACGGTAAACTATGAGTTGAACTTGAATGTAACTAGTAAAATGCATACTAGCGATCATAAACTAACTCCGCCAAATGAAACATACACAAAATGTTTTATATTTGCTACTTCAAACTGGCATGTCAACATTTTCACAAATCATTAAACAGCTTAATATACAATTCCGTGACTTTTTAACACGTGAAACGCTACATTGACAGTCATTTAACTGGATTTGATAGCTCTAAATATCCTATCCTATCGATCGTTAATTTCACTGAATTTCTTTCTTTTCAGAACTATAACGTCGAAATACACCAAGGTCTCTACCAACTTTAATCAGCTATACTGCAAACTTTCTGTAGAAAATTGACCTTTCCGGGACGAATGACCGCTTTAGAGGTATCAAAGTATTTCTTTGCTTATGTTTGTCCTGAAAGCAAAATACTTAGTAAATGCCGTTATAATATTAATAATTTAAAACAGGACCGAGTCCTTTGTAAAAAATTTTGAAGATATTCTGGCATTTAGAAACTCAAATTTCATCAGTCAAAAAGAAAGGCCAAGGATGTTAAATTTCAGGTCACTAGATGTACAACTGCATCTAGTAGATGTTCACGATATACTGAATGAATGTAAAATCAAGCAATATGTAGATCTTATGCAAAAGAAACATATCTCTTACTAGAATCATACCCTTCAACATTCACGAAAACGTAACTTTTATTACAAAATCAAAACGAATTATAGCCTCCATGCCTACCTGGATCTAACAAGAAAGAACCCTTCTAGGAAAACATTAGTGAAACTGAGAATAAGCAGTCACAAACTTAGGATTGAGACAGGTAGATACGACAATATACCACGTGATGAAAGGCTATGCAGTATGCAGTTGTAACAGAATTGAAGATGAAACTCACTTTTTAATTAGGTTGTCCAAGTTTTTCTTCGATAAGAAAGATGTTTTTCTCTAAACTAGAACCTAAAATACCGTTTCTACGACTACAATCACATGAGACCATATTATATCTAATGAATTCTACTGACTATTTTATTAACATCCAATTAATATTATTTATATCATTTGGCTTTGAATTGAGAGAAAAACTTGTCTCCGGAATGATTAATCGTACTGATGGTTGAAAATAAGCAATAATTAATATATTTAAAGTTATTTTAAATATTTAATTTAAAAAGGAATCAATAATTAAATTCAAGTCGCTTTTGCAATACTGTAATACTTTGTTATAGTCAAGCAAATAAACCTTATTGTTGTTGTTGCTGTTGATATAATTATCTGTCAAGTAGACGTTCTCATGACCGAAACGTTAAAGAGTGTCCTAAATTGTTCTTGAACGGAATTTTAATTTTGCTCTTGACTTCACGAGAAAAATTCTGAATACACATTACTTTTGACCTGAACTGAACTGAACAGACTTCTGGTCTAATTAAGCATATAATTTGTAACTAAATTTTATCTGTTCCTATTGCAGAATGAATCAGTTCTTTGTGGAAAGGTGACAGGGATGTTAATAGAACTTTTTAAACGGCTGGGGGCTTTTTTCTTGTTTCATCAAGGAACTACTTCACACAAAGTTGGATAAGACAAAAGTTATAGTCCTACCAGGTAATTTGTACTTACATCAAGCCGACAGTTTGAAATCATCTGTCAAGGTCATCGAAAACACAAAGCTTGAAAAATTCATTGAAAACAAATCTTACTACAAAAACTGCAAATTAACTTTGCCCACATGCACCATTCACATCTATCAGCACCTGATCATTAGATCAGTGAATCCATTAATAATAATATCCCACTCAACACTCAATAATTGCACCTTTCTCTGAGTGTGCAATTTAACAAACAAGTTGTGATATTTCTGGGACAAAAAATACTAAATATGAAAAAAAAATGTAGCGGTCGTCGGAACATCTTCAAAAACTGACACCTTAAAATAGAATAAAAAATAGTGAAGAATCATCACCACATTCCTCTTTTCTAACAACTTGAAATATTCATGTTGGGGTTCAGTATAAATCTGGTTTACATTTCAAGTTTTCTCACCACTAGAGAGGATGTGAGAAGTAGCCAAAGCGGTTGTACAAGACGGAAACAGTTGATCAGACAGCATGGAGGTCTTATGCTCCTACTAGCGTAATGAGACTTGATGATGATGATGATGATGTGAAGATAGACGTTTAGGTTGATATGTGCTTGCTTGGCCTTTTTTATGTCCAATATTTATCAGTTGCCCTTCACACAACAACAGTCAATTAACTCATTTCTATATATATAGTTCAGACACACATACACCGGTATCATACATTTTCATGCATGGTTATAAAATTTCTCTTATACAGTTGTCATCACTAGGATACGGGAGAAACTGTTTTGGTAGGTTAATCTAATTTAAACAACACCAAGGCTGAAAGTAAAGGAAGACTGAACAGCATTTTAATTCTTTTACGTATTTAAACATGAGAGTGAGTCCAAAATAAGATTTATGAGAAGAGTTTTTATTTTTGTGGAACGTACGATTAGAACTAGGAAAAAAAGAAAAGGATAATCGCAATATAAGAAGTAATGCTCTTCCAACATCCCAACTATAGTATTAATAAATTATCATTTTAATTTAGAAGTGAAAGGCTTCCGTGATACCTTTGACCCACATGTACTTGACGATGTCAATATTATTCTTGGCATGTGTGTGCAACACAATGTTGCTTGAGAACTGAAACATTTTAGGTGATTTTAGTTTCTCCTTGCAACCCTCTTAAATGTTGTACCTATTTGATTTTCAATTGGTTTCGAGTTCTTAAAAAAATAGGGATCCCTAATGCACACACGTACCCACAATGAATATCCAAAGAACAGCTAAATCCTTTGTGCAGGTGAATACACACCAAACTTCCTAACAAACACCCCCAAAGTGACAAATACGCCTCTGCTCAATTCGCACCAAGTTTCAAAAATGAATACCCAGCAAACTTCAAAAGCCTTTGCTGTGTGAATATCTACCACACTTCATAATAATAATAATAATAATAATAATAATAATAATAATAATAACAACAACAGCAACAACAACTAAAAGAAGGCCTTCGATAGTGTGCCCCACACCTGGATCGTCAAGAGCCTTGAACTCTACAAGATCTGCCCCACTATCACCCCATTCATGCAGGAAAACATGAAGTCGTGGAAGACGATGCTCCACCTAAACCACGATAAGGGCATGATGACATCCAGATCTATCGAAATCAAAAGTGGCATCTATCAGGGAGACTCTCCGTCACCTCTTATCTTTTGCCTTGCTCTTGTTCCTCTAAGCCCCCTCCTGAACAAGAGTGGCTATGGGTACAACAGCCCCCACGGCCACCTCTTCTACATGGATGACCTGAAGACCTATGCGAAAAGTAACGAGGAGAAAACGGGCCTGCTGAGAACCATCAAATCTTTCAGTGATGACATAGACATAGAGTTTGGATAGGACAAGTGCGTCAAGGCCATCTTCAAGAGAGGGAGATTAGCCGACTCCAGTAACATCGAGCTCAACGTCAACACAGTTATCCAGGAACTAGAACAGGAAGGTACCTATAAGTACCTCGGATTCAGCGGGGGAGACGGAATCCAGCACTCTCAGATGATAGAGAAGATCCGGAACGAGTACTACCACAGGATCTGGATGGTACTTAAGTCTGAGCTGAACTCCGTAAACAAACTGGAAGCCATTAACACCTCGGCAGTACCAGTGGTAACTTACAGTTGTAACATCATAAACTGGACGTTACAAGAGCTGGCCAAACTTGATACAAAGACTTGGACCTAGACATGGACCTAGACAAGACCCACAGATTGCTAAAAGCAGCTGGACTCAAAGTAAAAACCGATGGCTTTATCATCGCGGCCCAAGATCAAAGCCTCCCAAAAGGCTGGTACCAACACAACGTCCTCAAGAAGCCTGACATGGACCCAAAATGCACACTGTGAGGCCACTTTGACAAGACCATTGACCATCTAGTCTCTGGCTGTCCTGAACTGGCTAAAACTAAAGACATCCACCGCCACAACAAGGCAGCTGCAGACGTGCACTGGAAGATCTGCAAAGAGTTTGGCATTGAGGTAAAGGAACGATGGTACGAGCATGAACCCAAGACTGTCACCGAAAAGGACAGCATCTCCATTGTGTGGGACATACACTTCACACTGACAAGACCATCGCAGCTAATAGGCCTGACAATGTGCTAAAGAACAAGAAGGACAAAACCTGCCTTCTCATTTACCTGACTATACTCAGCGACACCAACACCTCAACCAAAACCACGGGAAAGCTTAACAAATACATAGACTGGGAAATCGAGGTTGAGCATTTGTGGGAGCTCAAAACAACGACAGCCGCAGTGGCTACGAGAGCCCTTGGCACCATCAAGGACATGGAAAACTACACCAACAAAATCCCTGGCAACATACACGAACTCCAGAAAATTACTCTCCTTTTTACAGCACCTTCTCAGGCGGGTCCTCTCCATCAAGTGGAAACCCTCTTTGCCTCCAAAAGTCCATGGTTTGGACTCGGATGTTGAGAGAGAAAATCACCCGCAATTACACTAGTATATCTTATAGGCGAATCGTTGCTGACGTCATTGTTTACATTTTGCCTCATTCATATACGACTTAACTCATAGAAGCTGTGGCCGTATATATGAACTAAATGCAAAAGTTGAAACAGCTGCTTAAGTTAAGCAATTTGTGAAATTTTCAGCTCTTTGCAAGAAATAGTGAAGGAAATATCAGCCAACAAAAACGGTGAAATTGCTGGGTGGCAAAAAAGTTAATGAGCCATACATACTCTGTAAAATTTCGAGTTTTTAGAAGAGAATTTTTCCGAAATCATAAGGTGTATTGGGCTCAAGTTTTCAGAGATAACTGAAACTGTTATGCCCTTTCAATATTCAGCGTTTTTATTTTACTGGCGTCATCAGATAGTGATAAGCATATGTTAATAAGGCAAAAAGTGTAAACAAAGATTCGCCTACATATAATAATAATGAAACAGGTTTGCTTAGTAATAAAATCTTTTCATTTCGTATATTTATAGCAATCTGAAAGCGTGGAAGTGCTAGCCCAGTCTCTGAAGAGAATTGTAAGCTATTTGACGCAGAGAACGATTAGGCCATGTTATACAAGAGCCTTGACTAGACAACTCAAAGAGTACGTTCACAAAGTATATGTATGTATATATATAAACGAGTTGATTTGCAGAACTGTTTTCAGAGTGCTCAATAGTAAAACTAGAGCGTGATTATAACAGGACGGGTAAATCAACTAGCAACGTTTTCCTGTAAGAGTAAATGGACATACTCCCACCCCAATTTCCACAGCTAGGCCCCTCTCCTAGATGTTGATGTTAAAGATAACTGTACATAAAAGAATGTTTTCGACATCAAACTAGCTACACTTTATAACTTGCTGGGTACAATGGTTAAAATTTGGAAAAATCTTTTTAAAACGGCTATTTCCATAAATTTCGTATAGATGAATTTAGTACCTAATAATTATGATTCAAACGTCTTCATCTTCCGTTCGTTAGTTTCAAGACTAAGAGGGACTACACTACAGTTTTCTTACCTGTCAGGGATGATTCATTTACAGTCTTAACTACTCATTGTACACAATACACCTTTTCACTTTCTACACAGTTTTGAAGACCGGTTTTTCAAAGAATGGACATAATGGGTCAGTGAATTTTATACTGTAAAATGACCAATTGAAATTACAAAAAAGTGTTTTATTCAGTTATTAAGTCACAACATAACAATACTATTTTGTTTATACGTAAGGCTTACCTTTTGATATTTACTTCATGAAGTACCTTTCAAACAGGTTAACCCAGCCACTCCATATCACAGCTTCGTTATAACTGAAGCAAAAGGGAAAATTAATTGTTAATTGAAAACAGAAATCAGCTCAACTCAAATTAACTTGAGGTTTAAACTATCAGATTACTTTACTACACTAACTATACTATGCAACGAAAGCACAACAATTATAGCAACAACAGCAAATGTTAAATGAGGCCCTGTTAAATCTCTTAGGTAACAGACAGGCACAAAAGTGGTAATTCAAAATCACGTCAGCTTTTATCTCCAGAAGTATAACTCACAGAAATGCATACAAGAAGGCACTACCAAATTACTTGTCTACGATGGAATGAAAAGAAGGGTTACAATGATCCTTTAAGGCTAAGTTGGATCAACAAATATTTGCATGCCTTGAAATAAATTGGTGAAAAAGTGCACGTCTTTCAAGTTCTAAGTAATTAATTCACAAAGATTAAACTGACAAATTACAAAACCATATTATTGTATCAGGAGTAGTGCATGGAAGTACATTCAATGATCAGATTCCTCTTGTGTTCTTTCCTCAACAGATACCCTCTCAGGTGGACTAGTTTCAAGGTAACTGAATACTAGCTGAAAACTGGTTAAAAGACAAACACACGACCTGAAGCTAACTTTCCTCATTGTGAATCAATGATAATGAAGTTGTAACTATATTTTTACCTTATTTGCATTGTCGTCATATGACATGAACGAAATTGTGTTGTTTAACCCCACTGGGTTCAAATTTATATAAATACTTTTTATAACCTGTTCAATATAGTGAATTTTATGATAATTATGAACCGGTAAACGTTATTTCATATTTCATGTTCATCACAATCAAATGAAAGAATACTGAGAAAATGATAAATTATCACCAAGTATATTACATTGATTAGTTTGCAAAATACAAAACAGTTTCAAAGTAAAATTCTTAATCCACGATCATATTACTGATTGCATGGGTTTTTGCAACTATATTCTTGTTCATTCGTTTTAAGTAATGTGCCATGTCATTTTTTCAAACTAAACGTACAATGATTACGCAGCATGGTAACGGAATTAACTGTGTTGAACTGAATAGATTTCCTGAATTCTCAACAAGGTGTAATGATGGATTTTACGTCTTTACATTGCTTGGAAATAAATAAAAGAATATTTTCCTGTTTTCTAATCGCTTTACCTCTAGCTTTGAGTGTGTGTTGATATCAATTTTTATTTTCTTTCTCACTGTTACATTTAACTAACATACATAAATGGGAGGAATTAAACCTTGCGTTTGGTCAGGTTTGGGGACGAGGTTGCTCAGCCGACTGGCCATGGAAGCTAAGGGAACCTTTTAGGTTCCAAGGTTAAAAACCTACGACTTCCGTGTAGCTCCATTAAAGATTTCTTTTTATTATATAGATACTGATGAAATACCAGGATTTTTCCTTTTACTAAAAAATCATATCTTCATCGCGCGCAGTGAAGATACTATTTTTATCTTTCACGTGTGAGGATATTGGTGTCGCCATGGTTACTAACATACGCTTTTGCTGTTATAGAATTTTTCTCTTCTTCATTAGAATTTTGACTTTTTGGAACAGAAATTATAAGTATTATTGTCTTTATTTCTCCTTTATAACTTTACATCCGAGTTTCATAACATTTTTGTGACAAGCGATAGGTGACCACTTTAATTGCACTATTTTGCTGTTTTGAAAATGAATTTAAAAAAGTCGTGTTTTATGTAGGAACTTCACCAGTATCTATAAAATAAACAGAACATTACATGACCACTTGAGGATACTTGAGCACAAGTTGCGTAGGTGTGTGTTAGACACTGGATGGGTTTAACAGAACCTTTAAGTAGGCTTTATTAGATCCATGTTTATCTCTGTGTAATATGCGACCAGCCATTGGTGTCGGTACCATTCCACCGAGCCTTCGCATAGAGTATAGATTCAGTGGAGTAAAAATCGATTTCCATTTGCTCCGTATAATTACGCAGATATAAGTAGCACAAACAAACACACCTTTTTCCCTGGAAAAAGAACAAGTAGTATCAGCCAGGACAAACAAGCACAAGATAAGGTGCCACTGTTGCATGCTAGAAAAATTACAAAAAGCTCCCTAATTGTGAACCCGAGTAATAATAGACGAGCCCTACTGTAATGTTTTTGCCAGTTCCCCATAAAGAACGAAGTTTTTTGTTGCAATAATTGGGTAACCAGCGGTGTATGGGTTGGTTGCTTTTTGAAATTCGCAGATGGTTTGCTGCGTTAGCCTCACATCTGTGTTAATATATAGATTTAGCCAGAGCTAAAAGCGAAGTTCGCGTCGATATTCTTATACTTTACTCAAAAAAAAAAAAAACTCGCGTAATGCTAAACGATGACGGCGACGAGAACAGGAAAAAAATCAATAGGTCTAATTAGTAGAAAAAATCTTTGCACGTGCAGCACACTTTTTTGTACATTTCTTCCTAGTCACACGTTTTATGGAGGCAATGTCTCGTACGTGTTCCTGCTCGCCTTTTTTTTTCACTACCGCTTATTTTCACAGTTGTGTTTGCTTGTCAATTCATTTTCATATAGATGGCATAACTGACAGGGTATTATGATTAATTCTACGTTTCATTAAAGTGCAAGTAGTAAATGTGACATTTAAATATCGACT